CAGTCAAGCAGGAGGAGGTTAGGAAAAAGAAAAAAAAAAGAAAAAGAATGGCGTGCCTTCCCAGGCTGTTGCCTATTGTGCATTCTACGATATATGTGTGTTTATATTTATGAATGTTGCGGCGGTCAGTCGAAAGACACAGCACTCATCAATCATAACAATCAATCAGACGCAAAGCCACAAACCAAAACAAAGCGAAAAAAACACCATAGAGAAGAAACTTTGAAGTTTCAGCGCAATATGCAAATGAGGGAGAGCAATTTTTCGGACCATTTCAATTAGACCAGCGAATACAAACGTAGATAAATATGTGCATATATAGTATGTGCTAAAATTAGGAAGTAGGTTGTGCTTTTTGGGTGGCTGAACAATTGAACGATTTGAACAGAATCTTCAATCTACTAAACAATAAATCACCTTGACTGGCCTTTCTCCCTTGTCCTTCAATGCTATGCCTTGTTTCGTTCTTTATTCATTCATTTAATATCTCATCAAACAAACGACGAACTTCTTACTATACTTTAGGGAATAACTTCAAAAAATTAATTATAGATAATCGAAACCATCGAAGTCAGTGCTTTTCGTATTAAAAGGTATGCAGTTAGAGAGCTTTCGTTTCGGAGGATCTCTGACTACACACGGCTCCCCAATTTTCCCCGAAATAGAAGATCAAAACATTAGGCGGCCGAACACATTAAACTAATTCTTACAAACATTTTCCACACATTATTTGAGTTTTGGTATTTTTGTTTGTTTGTTCAGCCGCTCATGAGAAATGCGGCAAGATCTGTGCAAAAAATTATTCACACAACAATTAACTCTAAGCATTTTATTGGTGCATACTTGTATGTATGTACAGTACATACGAGTATGTGTTTGTGAAGAGGTGTATCATGTACTGCTCGCATTTTCCTCGAAGCGATGATCTCATGGCAGAAATGTTTTTTTTTCCTTCGAATTTGTATTTGATTGTTTAATGAAATGCGCTTTCATATTAGTCGTTGATGTCACTTCCACTTTGGGCGCAAGTGTATCGCAATTAATAATCTCAAGAGAAATAATCGTCTATAGTTGACGAACGAAAACAAATGATTTCTAACCGGGGGTCTTATGTTTATGTTTATTTCTAAGGACCAGCGGCCAAGTGCAAAAATAACCGGAAATGAAAATAGCGCCAAATTGTTTGCAATTATTCACTCATTAATATATACAAATAGGGCTGATCAAAGACTATATAAAATCGATGTGAGAATATGATATACAGCATTAAAAAATGCAATTAATTCTCGAATTTTTGTTGTACATAAAAAGAGCTAAGCTAACAGATCATTATTCTCAATTCACCTGAATTAATTAATCAGTTTATTTTTGTAGTATTCGATTTCCTTTTCTTAATAAATGAAATTAACATAGCTTTACCATCTTTAAATTTAAAATCCTTAATATACAAATTGCATCTCAAAGGAAACAGCTATTTCTCAAAATACTCCTTCCTAATGGCGCCATGACAATCGGATGGATTGAATCCGACACTGTGACGATCGCAGTTTGAAGCTCTGTCTTAAGTTCGGTAAAAATGTTCAATAGATGAAGTTTATTATTATTTGTTTTCCCCGCAGCTGAGTCCACGTTAGAGATACGCGATTCAAAAGTTGTCGTTAGGACTTAAATTATGACGAACAGGTTACGAGAATTTATTAAATAAATATCCTCACATGTTAACTGATAGCCTAAAGTTGCTCACAGTTCAAAATGCAAGTACATAATTGCTAAAATTTGATTTTGAATTTTGGTGAAATGTGGTGTTTTCAATATTACGTTAAGAGCAAGTGACAAATAAATAGAAGCACCCGGAATCCAAATTGAAAACAATGATGATTTGCACGTCCAAAAACGAAAGATTGAAAAAATACAAATCTTTCGCTAGATAATAATATTATACTCAGCATTCTTAATATAATATTCTTCAAACATATCATTCTTCAATTTATTTCGAAGTTTTGTAAAAGTTTAAAACAAATCATTTACCGCTTGTATAGTAGAGGCCTGTTGCTAGGCAACTTTGGGAGCAACCCCCTGGTTTCTTGGCCAATTTCAAGTGGCAAGAACCTAAATGCATGGGCATGTGTCATGCGACCCGTCCACCCCCGGACTGGGGGCATGTCAGTCTGCCACATGGGTGCGCGCTGTCGTTTGGCTCATTAATTCAAGTATCTTATGTGTTTCAGCACCCAAGAGATTTTTTTTATTAATTTTGCATGCGATTGCACTCTATTTTATTTATTTCCGGTGAAAGGTCTTTGGCATTGTCACATGCAGGGCGTCAGCGAAAAAAGCTATTTCAAATGATTTAAAAATAGATACATAAATCATAATAAATTGTTTATCGAAATCATAAGGTATATTTAAACTTTTCGAATATCAAAAGCAGTAAAAAAACAGTAATAAAAAAACAACAACCCATTTTGAATGGAATAAATTATTCAATTGAATTATAATGCTTGCTGATTTGAATAATTAACGTTTTTTTTTAATAATGAACAGAAGACGCACATAGTATTTGTTATCACATGTTTTAACCGATCTTAAATATTATTCTTGTGAAAATTACCTACTTGTATAATCTTTATTGCTTACTAGCAGGTCTTGTCCGTCTTTGATGGGTTCAATTATAAGTTTATTTACAGTATGCTATTTCTCTTCTGACTCTCTAAGAGAATGGCAAATTACTTTCGTACATATCGAAAGCTACGGCCTATAGTACAGTACATACTGTGACCATACACGTACTATTTAGATATATACATGCATATGTATATTGTATGCGTGTATGTAAATTTCTAGAAAAAATTAAATAATAATATTGTGGAATTAAATCGTGAAATTTCTGATAAATTAAATAAAAATATTGTGGCACCCTACTCTGCGATTCTTATACCAAGTACCTAAGCACTGGCAAATCGAGAATTAAATCGTGAAATTTCTGACCAATTAAATAATAATATTTTGAAATTAAATTGTTAAATTTCTGATTAATGAAATACAAATATTTTGGGCGCCCTCCTCTGCGAGTCTCATACTAAGAACATACCTAAGTGCTGGAAAATCGAGAATGAAATTGTGAAATTTCTCAAAAATTAAATCAAACATCAATATATGTATGTATATTTATGTAGCTCTAAAATTTGGCAAATATATTTGTTGAACTTATGCAACTGCAAAACATATAAAGCAGCATACATACATACTTGTATGTATAAAAATTCACAAAAAATGCGTATATTATTATGTACCTATATTATTATAATTATTTCGTCCACTCTGTTTATCGTGTTTTATTTCTCAGAGTAAATAAAGTGGTAGGTTAAGTCACCTATACTTTAACAGGAAACTTGTGTCCAAATTTGCTTTACTTTGTTTAAATAACAATATAACTTTATTTTATACAAATGTTACTAATATTGTTATTTGTTAGATATGCGCTTTCCACCCAAATCCCTTGCCTTTGTGCAAAAAACTGGAATAATTATTAGAGTAAAAGTATTACCTCATTTTAAATTATATTTTGGTCGTGTTGTTTTTGTTTTTATTGTATATTCACTTCTATGTCTTTTCGCGCCTTATTCAGTCAACAGGACCAAGCACGAAATCGGAATATGAAACATGGTACTAATGTCTATTTCTATCTTGTGCATTAAAATTATCGATAGTTGAATCCATCGATACTATCGATAGTTCCATCGAAGTTTGAACAGAAGATTTAAATAATAACATTTCAAAATATCAAAATTTGTATTAAGAACATTGGTTTATCCACTGTTTGTGGCTTAAGAAAACATCAGCAATCAGAAATTAACTGAATGCACGAGTCAATTATATAAGGTTGTAGGTAGTATCGATAGCGCAATCGATATTTTGCATGCTCTACTATTTGCTATGTCTGTGAGTGTCTTTATTTAATAACTTTATAATAGTCGACTACACTGTCGTTAATGTCAATCGCAAGAATACATATATCTTAGAAACATTTGAATATTTTAAAGCATTCGGCTCATAAATCATATGCATTTATTGGTTACGTGTCTGAGATCCTTGTCTCTTTCCACAGGAAAGTCAATAATAATTTGATAATTAAATATGAGTATTTTTTCATTTTTCAATGACAATTTCTTATCAATAATGACTCCATTTTGATAGAGACCAAATGGTTTATTGCAAATAATAGTCCTTCCATTGTAATAAATAAACGATCAACTCAACAAATCATTAGGTTATTATAAATTACCATTGGACTGCAAATTTTATTCGGGCCTGTGTAAGCCATTTAAATTCCAAAGCTTCAATCATTTTAATTATTATAGTATCTTACTTACTAGGGTACATGTCGTTCCCATTCATCAAGCTCTTGACAATTTCACACGTATTTGCCAGCATGTCAAGTGTTAAATAAGACACGTCATTTGTATCATTAAGCCATTATTTCCGCTTTGTTAGACGATGCGACGAATAAGAAAGACATGTAGCTTCATTTATCACTTGACAAGAGCTACTTCTTTTCGCCTGCCAGTCATAAAATGATATATACTTGTATATGGTGTGCGATGAAATATCCAATATCGAATATCAAGTGCCATGTGCCATATACCATGTGCCATGTGCGCTATCATTCCAAATGACATCATAAATGGTTGTGCATATTTAGCGCCAGATCGCGTTCAATGACGCTGTCACTATTAATCACAATCGTCGTCTGCTCCGCAACCTCATCATCAATTGCAATTGAGTGCGAAAGCCAGTCAGCACCCACACACTGGCACAACATACGAGTATGCAAGCTATAGTCAATGATATATGCACGCGATTCCGACGCTGCTGACCACCACCACCACCACCATATGCATGCTATAGAAATTGAAAGCTGTTCCGACGATTGCGATTGTCTCAGAAGTCAATCAGTGTGCCAACAATCAATTATCAGTTAAGGGGGGGGGCGGGGTAAATAATTTTCAAACAGCTGCTTTATTCGCCACAACTTCTAATAGTTAACCACCGTCCCTTACTTTGTTTGTCTTCTGCCGCACCCAGAAGGTCATTGGTCTCAGTTAAAATTCTTCCGGCCCCGCCCGTTTCCAATTCTATTCGAAGGGCTTCTCCTTGGCGCCAAAATATAACACAGACCAGGACTTGTCCGGCATATCGAAATCCAGCGAGCGCTGATTGACACTACAATAGAATCGGAAGCAATTCCTATAGGCACGAATATTACTTGCCAAATTAGAGAGCGGTAATCACCTTGTCTCAGAGTTGACCAGACGGCGTTGGTTCATCGGTATGCATGTCTGTTTGGGGGCCGACTTCAGCTCCAGGGCGAAATCGCTCTCGGTTGGCTGTATGGACACCACACCAGCGGCACTCATCGCACCCACCACGACGCTCATCTCGTCCTTGTCGCCCTTATTGCCACTCGCGGCCATTGACTGCATTTGCGAAGACATCGGCAAAATTTGCGGTTGGCCGAAAGACAATTTAAATAAAAAACTAGTAAAATGAAGGGAGAACTATTACAAAAATTTCGTCTGCTCCAACTCTGAAAATGGTTGGGAATTTATTTTTGTTTTTTATGGATAGAAAAATGCCTGAAGTTTGTGATAAAGCAACTGAAATGAAATGAAATAAATTACAAAGCATGTCAGGCATTGTACAATAGGAAGCTGTCTCTTTGCCAGTTGCATTTCCAGTATTTCTTTTCTAAACAAACAAAAGTTCGGCATAAGTTGAAGAGATGAGATTGGAATAGTTTTTGGACCTACAAGAAGACCTTAAATTTGTACATGTAAATCTTTAGCAGTTACAAAATGTCAGCACAATAATTAGTCTATGAAAGAATCTTTTTTGGCTTAGACTTTTTCCCAGATGTCAACTCATTCCGGACTATGAAGAAATGACAACTCAGTCCAAGAGTCAATACAAACCCCGAAACGAACTGTGAAGTGCAAAATCAGCAGATCATCTATTTATGAGAAGTATAAATAATTGCTTGTATGAGTCCAAAAAACTGAATATGAGGCCCGAGAACTCATTTTGCGAAAGAACACAACACCAATGACGGTCCATCGCTAAGCCAGGAAGGACAGATTAATAAGCAGAAGTCGGCTTGAAAATTGAGGTAAACAAAGGTTAGTCTCAGCTTAAGGTACGAAAACCGATCCTGATGCGTTTTGTACTACGGACATTAAACGCCTGAACAATAACCAAGTACAGATCGTGTAATCCAATTCAAGTAAGTGATTGAAGTAAGTAAAGATTTTAATAATTATTATATTATATCAAAGAAATTATAATTGCATTAATAAATATTTAAAAAATAAAACATAAATCAAGCAGATACGAGTATAATGGATCTTATACAGACATATTCGCTTGCCTTTCTATCAAGGAAGTCACAAATTTCTAGAAGCGTTAAATCCAATCTAATATCTAATATCTACACTTTAAAATTTATATAAATTAAAAGAAAGTTTAAAAATGCCGACAATTAAGATATACAAGGAAATAAACATAAAATGCATCTATTTTTGTTTAAGAAATTAAGAATTAAAATAAAAGTGTGCAACTTAAATTTCTCCAACGAGCTCAAGTGCGTATTATTATTTTTGCTTTTGCTCATCAATTTTGTTTTACGATATCAACAGTCGATGCCGATATAATAAAATCATTATAATAAAGACGAAACCAAACAGAATCTAGTAAATTTTGAAAAACATATCTGTGGAATTTAGTCCACAATTTGCAGAAATGTTAGTTTTTATTTTCGACAATTTCCTATATGCCTGAAAGTATACTACAAAAACTACGAATAATATTTTAAAGTGAGAAAAAGAAAAGGCTCCATAAGACACAAAAACACCATTAAAAAGTTGAAATGGCTGCCTTTAAAACAGGTTTTAGATCTGCAAAATGCTTGCCTGTCTTTGATTATTTACAGATATACATATATCTGCAGTTTACTTTGCGATACTACAGTACGAGTATGTATATTTATATAAACAAGATATATGAAAGCCTGGCAGCCTTACAATTTGGTTCAAAAAACAGTTCAACAGTTAATTTGCAGAATGAATATTGGACAACTAATCGCCGCAAGTCTAGTAAATTTGCACCTGTACTCCGATGAAATCCTTGCCATTATTCGTCATTCGCTTCACAATCTCGCCGGGCAAAATCAAGGTGCTATTGCTGCGGCAAATTGCAGGCAATTCTGGGGGGCCTCGTATGTCGTACACCTCGCTGGTATGAACGTAGAGGGACTCAACCATTTCGGGGCGTGTAGTGGGCCAAACGGAGAGTGTGCCAGTGATACGCATATTGCTGGGCACCAGACTGGTCATCCAGATGAGAAAGAGTTCGGTTTCGCAAGCAATATTTTTTCGTTGGCGCTGCAAACTGTCCCCATAACCAAAGGCCTCGACAAGATTGACACGCGCTGTCATCACTAGAACGGGGAGCAGATCGCGCATCTCGTCGCTCTGCTGATCGTAGATCTTGTCCCGCACCAAATACAACATATGGCACTTGGCCTTGTTCAGTAGCGTGACGCGTGTATCGAGGAAGAAGGTCTTGGTTTGACGCAAGCCAATGCGCTCCATGGTAAGGGCACGATGATCGTGCAGCAAATGCTTATTGAAGTCGGAGATGAAGGCTAAGCGCGCACAGTCCCCATCGGGACAGTTGATGGGGGAGCGACCGATGACCAACGGCTTGGGCACATCGTACTGCAGTATATGGGGCTTTAATTGCAACATTGTCTCCAATTCGGAAGCGCTGCATTGAATTGTTTCGAACTGTGGCTCGGGCGGCACATTGCGACCAAAACAGACAACTGCATTCTTCTTGAAATGCTGCACATAGGGCTTGGGATCACATGCAAATCCTCTGTAGACGGCACGCTGTACATTGGAGACAAGGGAACGCAATCTTCCCACGCGCTTTGGCAACGTGGCGGACTTCATGAAAGTCTCGTAGGACGGGAAAGCGCCCGACATACAGACCCTTGAGTTCCTTCGACGTCGCCCTACAGGTACTTTCAGCTTTCCTACCTTTACGGTGGTGGACTTTGACGGATAAATGATCGTCGTTGATTCGGATGTTTCTGATATGGATTCAGATATTGTCAGAGCCATCGCGTCGGAGCTACTGTCGGTATCTAGGCGTTTTTTTTCATTCTCTTCGCCACCCCATGAAATCCAAACTTCACGCAGAGGGGGTGCTGTAGGCTCAAAGCATTCAGATCTTTCGGGCTGTATCCATTTCCCAGCGGTGCCTTTTTTCCTGTTGTCCTCATTGTAGCCGTTGTCCTGTTTTCCCGGCCGGCTAGTCTCCTTCACTGTGTTCATTAGGCAATCTAATTTTTGATCCAAGCTATCATCAAGTTTTTCTTTCCTACCCTCAGCATCTTCTTCCACATCCTCGGGCTTGACTTGATTCGATGGCAAGACCAATTTGTTTATCTTGTAACTGCGTCCACCACGCTCCCGATCGCGCGAGTTCTGCTCCTGCTCTCGTGACCTCCCCGCTCGCTCACGCGACTTTTCGGCACGTTCTCGCGATCTCGCTGTTCGCTCAAGCGCCTTTTCTTTGTGTTTGCGCAACTTTACTTCTTGCTCTCGAATCGCGAATTTCCCTAGAGCTTTTATTCTCGGCATGCGGGTCACCTTTTCATTACGATGCCACCCTCGGTAACGCTCAGCTTCGAACTGTTTCTGGCATTGAAGCTCATAGAGTTCCATCTTCGTGCGTTGAGCCTCCTCCTCGATTCTGTGACGCATGTCATCCAAATCCATGATTCGTTGCTGTTTCTGCGTCAGTTGGGCTTGCAACCTACTTGGCACTGCGTAACCCAACTCATCCATAGAACTGGGCTGAGTGGACAATATTTCTAGGCTGTTGCTACTGTTCAATTCATCGTCTTGATCGGAAATCACAACAGCACCTCCAGCTTTGCGTGAGTGAGGAGGTTGGAGCTCCTTATTGGCTCGGCCCCTAGGCTGGTTCGATGTCCCAGGTCCCGACTGATCGTCCGTGCCATAGCATTGTTGCAATCGCTTGAGTTCCTTGGCTGTTAGGCGTGGTTGGGCATACTGGTATGATTCCTTACGCTTTGCTTGCTTTCCACACTTGGGGGGAGGTGTGGGAGATCGCTTGTGTCGCCCGGTGGGGGGTATATCGTCGACTTTGTAGCGCCCAGACTCCTGATACCGCACATCGTCGTCATTGTCATCATCATCATTCAGCCTATTACGTTCCCAGGAATCGTGGCCCCGCTTCATCTCGGAACTATTTCGATGGACAAAGGACGGACCACCCAAGTGTGCGACACCCTTCTCAATACAGGATCGCACCAAGGGCTGTCGCGGCTGCTGAGGCACGGGTTCAAAGTCGGCAAAGCGGCGTGTAGCCATGGATGCCGCTAAATTCTCCAGACCCCGCCAGTGTTTCAGGCGCGCCATGCGGTCATGCAGTCCCTTCTCCTTATCGAAAACAGCACTGCTGTGTGCCATTGGCTCTTTGGCCAAAGAGGCGGCTCGTCGGTGATGAAACAAAACGCTCGCTCGCTTCTTGCGTTGCTCGCTAATAGCACGTGGTCGTTCGCTATAAATACTGCGAGGCATGCGCACGGGCGATGGCGCCCGATAGGCCGAATAGGTCAGCAGCTGCTCCTCACCATACGCATCCATTGCCGGTGGATTTTTGCGAAGATCGTGATGTAGTGGGCGTCGAGGCGGTGGTGGTATGACTGGGGGTAGTCCTGCAGGCGGATCTACTGCCTCTGTGGCCCAGTTCTGTGCGTTCAATGAGCGCAGACGCTGTAGGAATGCGCATTTGTGACGCACCGTTTCAAGCTCTGAACCAGTCGAGGAAATGTTATCGTCATCAGCCCCATTAGTCTTCTTCCCATCGTCCAGTTCATTGGATTTCTGTTCCGGCACCGCTGGTCGCTCCTCTGGCCTAGCGGTAGGGTCCGGCGAGTTGATCTTAAAGAAAAATGAATCACCGTTGCATGCAGTGCAATGCCCGGATACTCCATCAATACATCGCTCGCAATGGTTGTGGGTCAATCGTCGATGCTCGTATTCGTGGGCCGTGCTTACGGAGTCCGTTTGATGCCCGCAACTCGTGCAAACGTACATTTTGAAAGTTTCCGTGTTTAATTATCCAATTCCTCAATACTGTTCCAAATTTAAACTCCTTTAGAAATTTCCGAAATTTTCCAAATATATGTGTTGTGTTCGTATCTACTAGATATAAATTATACATACAAATGTATCTGAGCTTGCAACAACAAACTACTTGATTAAAGCAAATAGAGTTAAATATATTCCTACAAATGTTTTCAAACCTATGTCTATTAGCAAGCGATCAATAACAAAACTATTCTTATGGGATAGATTTATTTGTTGTTCCTTTCAAACAAACCAGAAGCTGCACTCAATTCCTGATATTGGGGAGTAAGGCAAGCATTGCTTTGGAAAACGGGATAGAAGTTGGGCCTAAAAATGCACAACGAATGTGAAGATTCCGCACTCGTGGGGAAAGACTTAAAAGCCCTTCAAAGTTGCTCGTTAAATCTACAGTTTTTTTTTCGAACAAGTTAGCTTTACACTTGTTTATTTATTTATTTATTAACCTCATCGTAGCGTTATAAGTACCAGATTACTTTTAAGCTATTACGCTAGTCATTACATATTTATTTCTAATTTAATGCAATTTAATTTAGTTATTAAAAAAATTATTTTCGTTTTATTTGGCGCGAAACATTAAAATTATAATTTTTGACTTGTTATGTTTTTTTTTAATTTTCCTTGCTTTAATTATTATTATTATAAATTATTTTTATTTTTTTCTTATATTATATTATTATTTTATTTTACAATTTTTGAAGTATGTGTCCTACTAATACATATAAGTGTCTGGCATGTAGGTTTTTTAGATGTACTATTGCAAGTGTGGTTGAGTTTTAAGAGTTTAGGTAATGCGGTAGCTTGTTTCACAGCTGAACAGCGAACATGTGAGGAAATGACTTGCCGAGGTTGCTAATATATATCTTATGTAGACTAAATTATTTGTGCTTATTGATGTGGAGAGAGTGATTCCGTTGTACAAATAATTTGGTTTTTTACGGTCAGAGACTTCCACAAAGATTCTTAAACAGAGACATTTTTAAGGCGGATGGGGAAATACCAGGTGTGTTCCAAAGTAAACAGGACTTTAAAAAAAAAAACAGAACAAATGGTTTTTTTCGGCAAAATCAATTTATTTTATTCAAAATAGTCTAAAAGTTTTACCAATTTTAAAACAACATTTAATGTTGGCTCTTTGTTCGAAGCTCATTTTCGCACCGATAACACAAACATACTGACACTTAAAACGCAATAACTTCACTTCCAATCGATGAAATGTCATATCTCGCTGGACAATCGATAAAGATAGCAGATTCTAACGCACCAGTCGACATATAGATAGCGCCACCAGGGGGCGCTGGATTCAAAAAGTCCTGCTTACTTTGGAACGCACCTTGTATTTGTTAATGAAAAAACGAGCCGAGACTTTTAGAAGCTGTACTTTTTTGTCAATCAATGATTTGTGAACCTCAAAACGCTTAATGAATGCGAAGATTCCCAACCCGATGGGGGAAGACTTACATGCCTTTCAATGGCAAGTTGTTCGCTAAACTTACAGCATTTGGGTCAGACACTTCCACAAAGATTGTTGAACAGACACATTTTTATTTCAATTGATTATAATCTAATCCCTTTACAAAAATCGACCTGAAACAGGTTTATGTATAAACTGTGCCAAAACGTTCAGTTAACCCTTTACCTATACTTGGACGAGTATGCACTTAATAAATAGAAAGAGCCATTAGGTAGTGTCTGTTGTGTCTTGCTCTCCCCCCAATCACATGACAATTCCGATCCAGCAGCTGTTGACCGTGAATTTTACATGTGGATACATAAAGCAAAGGCAAGCCAAAGCAAACTATGCAAAAACTGACCTTGGCCAGCAGCAGTGACGACGGCATTAGCAACAGCAACAGCAGCAGCAACAGCAAATAGCAGTTCCATTGCTCCCATTTGCACGCTTCAATTGCTCGCTGTGGCTGCTGTTGCTGCTGCCTCTGGAGAGCAATTGAAATTGTCAAACAGCCTGCCAAAACCTAAGCGTTTCGAGTGGTGGCAAACAAAGCGGCTTTGACCGCGTCCCATTGTTGACTTGCTTTGGGCCATGATTCAGCGCTATGTTTGATAAGATGCGCTCCAAAACAAATAACGGCACATACCCGAAAACGTTTAGCATGCGAAGGTCTAGCGATGCTGTACTGCATAGTATATAAATAATGTGAGGCACGCTTGGTAAGTTATCAAACGTTCATACAACAGCACACAAAATGGTAAGATGGTCTCAGTCGAGGTTTATGGAATCCAAAAAAAAGACCTACATATAATGCCTTTACAGAAATCTTTCATCCTGACATTCGCTTTGTGCGCCTGCTTGGCATCTGCTGATGTCTCACACCTTTCCTCCAGCTATTTGCCACCTGCGAACTCTGGCTCGGAACCGGAGCATGCGATCAGCACCAGCATTGAGCAGCAGCAGCTGCGGGAGTTGCCCGAGCAGGTCGACTCCATGAATCAGGGTCTCATGGAGGACTTAACACCACCCGCTCCAATCGACTCCATGCCTGCTGCGCGTTATCTGCCACCTGCAGAGCCTATGCCGGAGCTCAAAGCAGCCGAACCAGCCATGGAGTATATGGCACCCATGCCCGCCGAAGAGCAGCCCGCTATGCGCTATTTGCCACCTGCTGTACAAGCCACGGAGCCTCAGCCCACCTATCAACAGTATCAGGAGGAGCTGGCCAGACAACAAATGCTGGAGCAGGAACAGGAACAGCAGGAGCCACAGGAACCACTGGAAGAGCAACAACCAGCCATGAGCTATTCCATGGATGAGGCACAACAACCAATGGCTCCTTCGGATATGGACATGATGGCTGCCTATGAGGAGGCGCAGCCCTCCCATGAACTACGGGACGATGGCTACCACTATAAGGCTGTGGAGACAGAACAAAGTCTGAGACATTAGTGCGATTTAGTTAATGCCATGCAATTGTATTTGCTTTTCTTGTTAGATTTCTCGTTATTGTTGTGAGCATCCAAATAAATCTCTTTGGCAGCTAAACTATTCAATTTTCTTGCACTTGGCTTTAAACAATTAAACGGTAGACAAACAATGCTTAATAACAAATAATAAAACAACATTTTTTCAGTATAGCCACTTAGCGGCTCTTTTTCGGCGGTGGTCCGTTAGCCGGCGGATCTCCACTACGCTTTGGTACATTGATTTCGGGGACTTCTTCCGGTTTTTCTTCATGTTGATTGGCATTTTCTTGAGGGCATTGCATTGCATTGGATTTATAGGTAACCTTCTCAGTGAACGGCATATCCAGTTCTTGAAGCCTTCTTGCTGGACGCACTTTTGAAGCGTCTTTACCATTATCCCTAATACTTGGAATTGTGACCTTTTCCACGCTCCCGTTGCGGCGCACAATAAGCAAGTCTGTACTGTTTCCCGAAAGAGGATCACCTTCAATGCCTGCGTTCACAGCATCCAAAACCAATTGACGTGCCTCTCCCTCACATAAATTTCTATGCCATCGACTTTCCAACACAGCCATGGCTCCCACCGATCCGGTCCCCAATGAAGCGTAGGGCACCCTCTCCGAGTACCCCTCGAATCGGGTGCAATAGAGATCCATTTCATTTTTCCAGACGCCCGCAATTATCAAATTGCACAACATCTTGCCATTGTACCGAAAAAGTGTTTGCCTGGCAAAGGTATTGGCACACACCACGGGCACCAATCGTTCACGCTCCAAATAGTGCAGTCTTAGTTGCGACTGGAGCAAGTAAACCACCGAATCGACATCGGCACTTATCCCAGAAGCAGCACAACTGCAAAAATATATATATAGTATAAATATACATAGTTGATGTCCTATAGCTACACAGTAATCAAAACTGTGGTTCGATCTCACTTAATGAAGTCGATTTTTCCAATTATAATACTCACTATATGTTGTCGTGTAGACGATATATTTTCCTGGAATGAGTAGAGACCACAACTTTTCCATTTGTTTCGCGCTCATCGGCGCCAATTATAATACCATCCCCGTAGATAATACCAACAAGGGAGGTACCAGTGAGAAAGGGTGTTGGTTCTTCCAAGCCCTCCTTTTTTAGCATATTATTGCTACATGACGAATAGTATTTCGCTCAGCTTTTAGAGAGACTTATCTTTTATTATCACTTACCATCGCACATTATCAAAATTAAAGCCAGTAGGGTTCGACATTTTTAAAATATTTTTGTGTAGATCCGTATAGTATTGGAATATCAACTGCCTTTCGTAGGCATATGTTTATAATAGTGACTATGACGTATAACTGAAATATCACTCAATTTTTAGTTGCATGGCATACGAATATAAATTTATAGTACTCTTAACCAAAAGAGGAGTTAGGGTAAAAAACAAGTGCATTACCAGGCCTAACCCTAAAGAACATATGTGATTTTAAAAAATTGGAGAATGCATATAATTGTTTCAATATTTAATTGACTGCAATATTTTAAGGGTTCATTACGACAAAAATGACCTCAAATAAGCTTAAATAAAAAATGGTTTGATTAAAAAACAAGAGTGTTTTGTTTTTGGGTTTCATTTTGTGCAGCATTTTATTTTATTTTTTAAAGCCTAAAGAAAATAGTTTAAACGTCACTAATTTATCTACCCTAATAAAACAAGTTAATATCCCAAATATATAGACTTTTTTAAAACTATCGAAACTGTGTTTGGTGGCCAACTAATAGTGCTTGTTCTTATAACTGTTGTTCAATTAATAAATAAGCTTCTGATCATTGTGAACATACAGATTTATAAAATCGTTTAGGACGTATAGACCGAATCCTTTAAACACAAAGAGGAATATCATAATTTGCGCTCCCTTTAATCGGTAAGACCATTTTTTGTCAATTGTGATGCCACAGTAGACTAGTCTTTATTACGGCAAATAGCTAGAGCTGGAATTGATAAAAGTTGAAGTTTGGCAGACTATTTAAATCTCTCGTCAAAGAGAATTAAATATGGTTGAAAGTAATTTTATTGTAAAATTGCTTAAAAAATAACATCGAAAGTCTGAGCCCTTCCTATTCTCCGCCCTCCTCTTCAGCCTCGTTCTCAACTGTGGCACCCTCTCGCAGCATCTCCACCTTATGTATGCTGAATTCAATGTTGTAGAAGGGCACATTTAGGGTTACCACTAAGCAATAGAGCAGGACCTGTAAATGGCGGGTGCGCAGCATATATGATGATCCCTGGTGTTTGGGGAACAAGGGATGATCCTTCTCCTGACAATCGTACATGAAATAGCCGCCATCGTGTCCCGGCGAAAAGCCTATGGCCACTGCTCGCTTGCGAACCATCACGATGCCATACTGGTAGTGGCTGAAGAAATATATGAGGGCTTCGGAAAGGTTCATGCGGTTGAAAGTGGGAACACGATACAATTTTCCATAGCAGACGTGCTCGATATGGACCACAAAGTTCACATTTTCCAAGGAGCAATCGATATTGAGGTTCTCCAGCGAGAACTCGTAATCCTCCTGCTTGATGGTCTCAATACTCTCCGTGAAGTACTTGTCGCCGCTAATGACAATGGTATCCAGCAGATGAGCGCTCCAGTCCATAAGCCGATAGATACTAGCCGCACAACAGGCAATAACATAACAGGCCAGATACTGGCGTCCGCGCACCACCTCTTCGAAGACTGGTGCCTCAGGATGGAGATTACCCCACAGTGACCAGAGACGACCCTCGATCTCGATATCGAACTTCTTGAACTTGCTGACAGGCAAATTGCGATATTTGCCAGCTGTGTTACGTCGATTAAGACGACTCCAAATCGGTAGACAGTTCTCCAGCTCCAACCAGCCCAGTGACTCGTTTGTGGCGCATATCTCGTATTCAGGCCGTCCATATGCGCGTGTCGAGCAGGTCATTGGTATGGATAGATCAGTGAGCAGTTGTAGGATGCGCGCATTCGGTGCTGCCTTCTTATAGGAGAGCACATCGACCACATAGAACTTGTACTGGCATTTCTCTTTCCACTCAGACTGAGCACAGCGCTCGTCAATGTACTTAATCATGCTCTCCACGTCCGCGAAGAGGACCCACGAGGCGGTATTGCGCTCTGGGTATCGTTTCGGACCTTTGGGGCACTTCTTCTTCTTCTTTTGGCCGCCGCCGCCGCCACCGCCACCTTCCTCATCGTCTTCATCTTCGACTTCACCCTCACCCTCCTCTCCGCCACCCGGCTTATCCATGGTTGGATAGGGATCGAAGAGATGGAAGAACTCATCGTGATAGATGGCGTATGTGCCGTTGGGCGTGAATATCATAAGATATTTGCGGGTGTGCAATGCTTTGTCCAGTTTCTTCTTCAAGACGGTCATACCCTGGGCCTGTTTCATTGGCGCAGCATCCGCCATTTGCGGTGTCCACATGCCTTGTGGCTCGAAACTGCGTATCCAAATATCGAATTCGTAATCATCTACAGTCACGTGTCGCACCACACGCTCAAAGACCGATTCTAGTTCGCAAACACGAGACGATATGGTCTTGGCGTTTGTAATGACGCGATCAATGCGATAAGAATTCCAGTGACTAAGCGGTCGCAACGAACATCCAATAATAGCCAGAGCACAGGCAAAGTAACAGGGTTTGATTTCCTTGAAGGTGCCCTCATCTCGTCCTTCTAAGGCAAGGCTGCCCTGAATCTTAAAGTTGCAGTCCTTCTCACGCATGCGATAGCCATAGAGAATGGGCCTGGGCTTGTATGGCTTTCGCAACTCTTTGGGCAATTTCTTTCCAGGATGGTGCTTCAATTCCACTTCCTCTTCGCCTTCTTCTTCCTCTTCCGGACCGTACCCTTCATGGTCTTCCTCACCCTCACCCATCTCATCGATACCTGTGTCTCTGTATTCTGGAGCTGTTAGGCGAGGTAGGAGGGGGGTGTAAAATTTGGTTGTGAATTGAAAATCAAGGCTAGCTACTTACTTTTTCCTGCCTTGCGGTCCAAACGCTGCTGCTTGGCCAACAGGAAGGTCTCAATGCGTTTGTTCTCCTTCTTGAGCTCCTCATCGATGAAACGCATCTTTTCCAGACGCTGCTCACGAATACGTTTGCGCCGCGCCATTTCCTGATTATATTCCGCATCCTCGTCTGCCTGCGTCCAGTGCCGGAAGCGACCCGTATTGGTAGTGTCGAGCACCTTCAGTGTAGCTATGATGAAGTTCATGACCGCACAGCCCTGCGGATTGCAGCCGAACTCAATGCGCCGTATGAGTGCGTCCAGTTCCACGAAACGTAACAGACACGCCGGTCCTGAATTGCCCTTGCGGAAACCTACCGTATTACAGGGGAAGCCAATAAACATATACAGAAAGTTATAGCGCTTAAAGATAATGCACGAGAATCGCTGGCATACGAGCAGCAAGCGACTGCTGGTGATAAGCACTTCCAGCAGCACCTGTCGCAGAGGCACCGTAGCCGTTGACTTGATCACTTTGGTCACATCTATGCTGTATGAGGTACTACCAATAGATATATCCGGCACTTTCTTGGCCAGCACACATGCCAGTATATACTCATAGTTTTGGTATTCATCTCCAAAGTTGTTTGCCGATTCCAGTGCGAACTCAATTAGTTCGGCATTCCATGTCGAAATCTTGTACTTGGCCGAGAGTGCAACGGCTACTAACCCAGCCAGCAAGCCACCCAACTTAGCCATTTCCTCATCCAGTTGCGGCAACTGTGTGGTGCCCAGCAAAATCCACGCCCCATCGGGCAGGGTCTGGAAATTACTCTTCAAAGCTAATTCCTCCTCCAGTGTGAGTACACGTTTCAGATCCTCCTCCTCTTCTTCGCCCAATGTTGGATCGCGCTTAATCTTAAGCCTTAAAGCCCGCAAATTCTCCTTGTCACTGCGCAACAGCACCTTCTGTGCCTGCTTATACAGATAGGGACGATCAGCTATAGGCTCAGGCAGGTCCTTGATAACACCATCTATAAGGCTTATAATCAGGTCCATCACCATTTCCTTCTCATCGTGTAAAGGCAGGCGTTCCGTCTCTGGTATACTCTCGATACTCTTCTTTTGTTTCGGCTCCGCAGCGTCCGGCTCATCTGTGAACGACGGCAGGCCCATCTGCAAGGCAGGGAACTTGTTGGCGCGCTGAGTTATCACTTGAAGAGGCCGAATACAACCTGTGCGTACGCCGTGTATGAAAAATTTACCACCACGTCGCATTTTCAACGCATTCAGGTATAGCAGACGACAGAAAGAATCAAAGGTGGTGTGTAACTGCAATACCGCCAGACCCTTAATTCGATAATCGTCGGGATCGACAACCATGCCCGTACGATTGCGTCGAAATGGATCAAATACGTAGAAAAATTCCTTGTCCCGCCAAATGGCAAGCACAGAGTTGTCGATTTGCAGCAATGCCGTTGGCCATTCGGGCATGGAGAAAAGCTGCTGTAAGGCCATAGTCAGCTGCGATTCTAAATAGTCCTTGCAGTCGGCCACGTGACCGGTGATGAGAAACGGACGCTTGCGCACAGTGGCCTTAAAGGCACCCATTAGGAACATTTCTGGCAGATCAACAACATTCAAATGCGGTTTGTTTTTCTTCCATCGCTTGCCATCTAGACGAAACTTTTTGCGCAATGTCTTATAATAGGCCACTCCATATTTTATCAAGTCATCGATAGTCATAGGTTTCCACAGCTTGGCCAGCTCGAATTCCGAGTAAATCAGAGCAATAAGCGACACAACCAGTGATGCATTTTTCTCATTGCCCGATATCGGTTGCTGTAATCCACCACCTCCCGCCGTCTTAACGGCAAAATGCTCATTAACCATAGCCCATAGCTTGTGTGGGTTTAAGTTCTCGTCCTTGCGTGGCGGCGGCTCCTTAAGCTTGCCATAATTTCCAAGCTTAATCTCATATACTGTGAACTCGCTGTCTGGGTCCAGGTCGCTGAATCCGGTTATTATATGCACAAGATGTTCAGTGAACCGCGTGGCCATCAGAGAGCACTTTCCCTCTTCAAAGTCACGTTGGCACAAATCGTTTCGTCCATTCGGATCGAATATGTAGAAGGAGTTGAGGCATCGTTTCCAAATGAGCAAATACAGCTTATTTGACACAAAGATGCAGGCGTTGTATCTGGAGAAGAACAACGACAGCACTTTGAATAGATTGGGTTCATTTTTGAAGAGTCCCGCGAAATGTATCTTGATCTCAACACTAGCCTCGCGTTCCTGAACCTGCGGTATTATGTCAAAATCCGAAGTATCCGATTTGTAGTTTATGGAGGTACTGCGTTTTGTAAGCTTGACTCCCCTCTTTAGGATCCCATCCATAGTGGCCGCTGTCCAAAAGTCAGGATTTAAGTGGAAACTCTCCACATAGGCTATAATCAAGCAGGCGACTTCACTGGGTCGATTGTAAAAACTGCATATGAAGATTTTGATATTTTTAGTACAACTGCAAAAACTTTACAAATATGGGTGGCCCACTTACTTGGAGCGATGCTCCTTTTTTGGTTCAGGATATATATTGCGACCACCAAATACGATCTCAGCAGTGAATGTCTTATCCAAGTCCTTTGGTATATTATACACGGTTAGCTCGCCGTCTCTTTCTAAGCTTGGAAAAGGCTATTTGAATTAATGGCAACTGTCAGAGAATCAACAGTACGAGACAAATGCATACCGTATTTTGGCAACGAAGCGGCAATAAATTCTTGATCCTGTTCCATTTCACGCCTCTGATAACCCACATTCCAGGTCCACAGATCTTGCGGATTACAACCCTCAATAATATCGTAAGTTTTCAGATTTTCACCCTCAAGATTCTCTTGTATAATGCGAGGATTATATGTGGGAAAAGGCAATTCTTCCAAAGGACCAATTTGGGTTTCATTAATATAGATACGACTCTTGGGTCGCTTTAATTCAAGCTAAGTGTGGGTAGTGCAGAAAAGGGTGTTAATATTACAAACATCATTTGCTCGTATATTGTCAATCAAGCGAAAAAAATTATATCAAATTTTGGAAAACTCCTAAACAGTATAAAATGCAATTACAAATATTTTCCTTGAACACGTTTTGCAACTGTTTAAGCTAATTTTTAAGATATATAGTACTATAGAATATATAGTGTGTATAGAATACAATATGCACTCTCAGTGTCCCGGCTGGCGGATCAAGCGACGGACTATCATAGGAGATAGCATATTTGGATGGGAATAGGGACTTACAAACATTTCTAAACTTCTTACGGAGCATTTCAGTGATGCAGAATGGTTTTTAAAACATCTTAAGACAGACCTTTTGTCATTTATTTAATAGTGCGTAAATGCTCATTCCAACCATGCATTTTATACTTTTTGCTAGTATCTTACTTCTTACACTTACACGCTATCAACATACCCGGCTACCTTATCAAAGCAATATGAGTGCGAACGGCCCATAAAATACCCTATTTATGTTGTCCAGACATAAAATAAAGAAAAATTAACCCATAATGAACCTAACGATGGACACAAGTCATAGCAAAGTATTTTATTCCGCATTTAAATAAAATCAAAGATTTCTCCACTAATCCGAATCCTAATTGAAAAAGCAATCAATATTAAAAAGGTTAATACAGCATTATTAATTCTTTTATAGATTTCAGATTGCGAGAAAACTGTATATTTGGACAATGTTCTTGGTGTCTTTAGCAACTAAAACATTTGATTACAGAAAATGAATTACTCGTACAGCTGTCGGCAAGATCCTACAGCATTAAGCAGCTGCAAGGATAACTCTTAAGAGTGAAGATCAAACGTCTAAAACCCATGCACAAATATCGGTTTTACTGAATTTGATCACGTTACGCATACACCATGAGTGTTACACAAAATGAAAATGCATATTTCGACAAACCATTTTTTCCTGCAGTTGCATAAAAAATCCATTGAAGGCAAGAAAATCGAATACAAAAACAAAAGCTAAGAGAAAAAACGAAACCATAAAACCTTTTGAGCAGCTTTATGTGACGGCACGGCCGTAATGACATATGTTACATTGTCCGACACAGACACTTATGCATGTACATACATACACATACCATAAAGATGACGAACGGGGGACTCGCACTGAGCTTTGTGCTTTCACTTATTTCCTGTAATTGTTCTTGTTGTTGTCGTTGCTGTTGTAGTTGCTGTTGTCGTTGGCAGCCCGCTTTCACCATCGCTTATTTCAATTGCGTCACAACAGCAGCAACAACGTTCTCTGAAGGTGTCGCCACCACCTACAGATACATGTATACCGGTACGTAGAAGCGACATCTAATTTCAAAAGCTGAAAATAGCACGCATACGCCACCGACACCAAACCCATTCATAATTGTAAGTGTTGTGGTAAGGGCGTGTCCGGCCGCCTTTGTTAAGTTTGCTCAGGTACCTTTTTTTTAGATATCTCGCTCTTAAGGCAGAAGAAGTTTCCAAGTTGAGTTAGTAAGCGGCATAAAGTAAGCACGAAATGCCAACTAAACTAACTCGCAGACTGAATTGCTATGCTTATACCATATGTGTGCGTGTGCTTGTGTGTGTGTGTGTGTGTGTGTGGGTGTGTGAGTTGGTCTGCCTATACGGCTCGCTGGTTCAGGTTCAGTCAGCCAGCCAGCCACATGGTACGAAATAAAGCACAAACAAACAGCGCGCAGTAAACAACGAACAGCGCTTAGTGCCACATCACGAATCTTATCGCGGGCTGCGACGACAACGACGACGACAACGACCACGACGACTACGGCAACAACAAAAACAACAGCAAAGGCAGCTAAACCGAAACCGCATAGCCGAGTAGAGCCGAGCCCCAAAGCCGACTGTAACAGAATAAGGTTGGGGGCCAAAACGGCGCGGTCGCTGCAGAACAAACAAGTCATCACACACACATAGGCAGGCCGAAACGCACACAGTCAGGCCAGAAGAAGAAAAAAAAGCAACGGCATTGAAAACGCCAACTAAGTGAGCAACAGCGGCGCGCAGTAATCGCGCACATTGTGAGCATTGTGAACGCGCATAGAGTGAAGCGCTTATGGCATACCCGTATGTATGTATGTATGTATGTATGACGACGTCAGTAAATGCCAACCACTAAGAGCAGTACCAACAGCAACTAAACCACGCAACCCTCTAAATGTGAGCAACAACAGCTAAGGTAAGTTGATTTGCTGCCAAAATGTCAAAGCTCAGATGTCTACATACATATGCATGTATGTATGTATGTGTATGTAAGTGTGCATGTGTGCGAGTGCGCGTGTGCCTGTGTAAGCCTTGTTTATTGACCAGCCGTATGGACAGTTTGTTGGGCAGGTGTTTTTGTTATTTTTAATTTTAGAAGAGCACTTGCCATTCTTACATACATGCATACATATACTCACATGTATGTACATGCATACACATACACAAACTAGTTTTTGTTCGGCATTAGAAAGGTAGCAGAAAGGAGCAACAAGGGCCACGTCAGCAGCTGGATGCTATGCAACTCGCCTGAAACCGCAATAATGCAGTCGCCAATAAAGTAACTGCTGTTGCTTTTTCTGCTGTTGTTGCTGCCCACAATGAGATGCTGAATTGCACAAAAGTGCACAAAAGAGAACCGACAAAAAATCAACATACAAAAGCTTATAACTTGCACAGGTGCCATCAAGCTAGCCAGCTACCAACGTCACATTTAAGCAACAAACTCAACTTAATGTGAGAAGCATTTAAATACACACACACAAATAGACGGACGCAGGCCGCAAAGCAAGCCACACAATATAAAATAGCAATGGCAGCTGCAGAGGCGTGTATTAAAAAACGTGACAAAGGGGGTTACAGAAAAAACTTTGGGCATACTTATAAGGATGTCACTGTTAATCGATGGAACTTTCGTTAAACAAACCACTTCTTTTTTAAATATACATAATGAGCGTTTAATCTGATTATGATGTACGATCAGCCACACATAAAATTGCCAATTAAATAATTTTTACATGATGCTTTATAAGGATATGTACATACATATGTATGTCACTTGAAATATTCGATATATGCTCGCTGAATAATAATAAAACTTATGTACATATATGTACATATGTATATCTAAATGTGTATTGGCGACCGGGCTACAGGATAATACCGAACAAATATCGGGCTTCAGGATTATACCGAACAAATATCGTTCATTTTTGAAGTAGTGTCGCATTTTTCATTTTATTATTCCAATTAACTCCCTTTCACAAGTGATAAGGCATTTATAAAACGCCCATAAAACATGAATGCGAATTTATCAATATCAATTTGAAGCTCTAATGAAAGAGTATTCACACTACACACATACATATAAAACATACATTTTACAATGTATGTACATACATATGTGTGTATTTATTTGTCTGCTTTATCTATTGGACAGTAATTGAATTTGTTGAAAAGCTGCCAAAGTCATTCAATGGTCATTCATAAACTTTTTTTTAGATTGTTATCAAAAATGTATACATACATGAATGTTGTATAGTTTTGCATTCGTTTTAAATTTGAATTAATAAGGAAGAAATTTTTCGTCGGGTGTAAAAACTAAAATTCAGATGGAATAATGTAATTTCATTTGTGAAATCAAATCAATTTCATTAAATTCCGAATCGGAATGTTATTCTATGAATAAATTGCGAGTCTGTAACATTATTACGCAACATTAATTGAGAACCAATGGCCGCCTACACAAAAGACGACGCCAGTGACTTTTGCTTAGATACAAAAGAAGAACAACGTAGACAACAAGAACAGCGTAACTAGCAACGCAAATGAAACAAAAATTAAGTAGAGACGGACAGACCAACAGGCACAGCGTCAACAACAGCAGCGACGCCAACAGCAGCAGCAATAGGCACTAGGCTTTTGCATAGAAACTCAAGAGCTCGTAATGCACACCAATAACAACAATCCCTCATTTGTGCATGTATTTGTCTATGTGTGTGTGTGTGTGTGTGTGTGTGTGTATGTGTGCTTTATGTGCATGTGACTGACGCTGACGGCGTCAACAAACAGTGTCTGCTCCTCACGGCCTTTGCTTGTCTACTACAAAAACAACTACATCGTACAACTACAGCAACAACCATAACTCAATGCGCTTGCACACGCGACACGCGGCAGCACAGACCTGGCCTGTGCATAACGTACCGTTTTAATTTCATATGGGGGGGGCACAGCAGCAACAACAAACAATCGTCAAACAGTGCACAAGTGTTACTCAGCAACTAAGCACGCGTGTTAAAATGTCGCAGCAGCTATAACAGCAACAACAATAAACAGAATTGAAAACGTGCCGGTAAAAACACACACACGCATGTGTGAAAATACATGTATGAATTCGTTTGTGTAGCAAAGGCAGTAAGCAAAACAAAATGCAAAATTAAATAATACAGTTTGTAATTCTTAGCAACAGCATAAAATACACAAATACATATGTATATAAAATTATTATTTTCTGCGTAGCATTTCAAAAAAGGAGCAACACAAGCACAGCAACAACAACAGCGAAGCAAGTAAGAGTGCGCTCACGCTCTTTGCTCACTCAGCCACACAAGTGTGCGTGAGAGAAAGAGATTGTGCTTGCTGGGCAACAGCGCAATTGGCTATTTTACACAGCACGCTTTTATTCGCATTTTGAGGACGCTGCGCAGCTTTCGGGGACGAAAGAAGCTAACCAAAAGCGAAAAGTATTTAATAACTGATTTAATTCTTGAGGCAGAGAGAACAATAAAATGGCAAACATGGAAGCTGTAGCAACAAAAATAGCAACCAACAAAAAAGGGGTAAGTAGCAAACAAATAAAACAACAGCCAACTTACTGTCTGCGTATGTACATACATATGTATGTATGTGTGAGCCTGTGCATGTTAGTTAACTTGGCCTTTAAGTTACGCCGGCCTTACGAGGGTTGATTTGTCATGCACGCCAGCAAGGCACGCAACACACATACACGGACAGGCACGCACATACATATGTATGCATGTATGTATGTAAGTGCAATAGAAAGTAAAGGGCATTTCGCAATAATTTTCTTGCACAATCGCATTCGATTAAGCATGTGGCAAACTATAACTGTAATTTTCTCATGTTTTCGCACAGGGCAACAACAAATCGCGTCGCAATGAACGCAATATTTTGACCTTTTATGAGAAAATAGCCGTTATACGCTATTACGATGAGACAAACATCTCAAGGAACAGCCTGGCCAAAATGTTCCATTGCTGCGCCACACAAATACGGCGCATATTGGAAAAGAAGCGCGAGCTATTGCAACAGTTGGCTACCCTGAGTGAGGCTGATGCTTCTATTATTATTGAGGAGATGACCCGCAAGCGTCGCAAATTCGAGATGAGCGCCATCAGTTTTCTGTTGCACGAGTGGGTGGAACGGAGTCGCCAATTGAAACTTAGCGGCAGTATTCAGAATCAGAAGCTGAAGGAGACGGCACTCAAGATGGCAGCGGTGCTAAACTTGCCTTCCTTCAGACCATCTTACCGCTGGCTCAACCGGTTTCGCGGTAAATACAAATACGAGGATGAGGAGTTGGGCTTCATTGGCCCTGGAGCTATGCATGGCACTCTGCCAGTGGAGCACATAATATTGGAGTTTAAGAGCGGACTGCCCAATTTTATGCAAAAGGAAATCGCCAATTTGACTGGGGCGGAGAATGTGGAGGAGAGCATGAAGAAATCCAGCACAGTGGAACTCGTCAATTTGTCTAGCGAGAATAGTGACTTTTCGGATGGAGATCAAATGGCACAGGACAACAATGAAGATGATGCAGATGACGATGATGATGTAGTGGAGATAGTGACCTGCGAGCCGAGTATGCTGGCCACACTCTCGCCAGCCAGCACGCCCAGCAACAATAATAATAATAATGTTGCTACGCCACAAGAAGAACAGCAGGATACAGCTAGTCTTAATGGGCTGCTTATGAATGCGGGCACCTGCACGCTTCTTAATAGCGTTTTCCCACACCTAGCAATTATACATCAATTTGCGCTTATGAACTCCGATATTAAAGCTTTGGAGCTGATCTCTCAGTTGGGCGTGCATCTTCAGCAGCAGGCCACGTCCGGGGCGTACACTTCGTTGTCGCTGGCGACAACAGGTGACACAGGTGGAGAGCAGCAAGCGCTACCGGCTGGCAGTATTTATGCCGATATCGATGATATCGAATTGATTGAGTAGTGGTTCAGTAAAAAATGTAATTTAAGGCTTTGCCATAACTATTTATAATAAATTCACACCTACCATGCGCTTATCCGGTATGAGTATCATTTCCGAGCTACACTCAAGACTTGCTGGCACGGGCTTCACTTCGCCCTCCTCCTCCTCTTCGCCTTCGGCAGTCTCCGGCTGCACTTCCTCCTCCTCATGCATATCCATAGGGCTGTTGAGCACAACAACATCCTTGCTGTGTGCTTTTGCCGCCTGGACAACGCGTGCATCGTGCTCAACGAAGCCCATTTCCCGTTTGGCCGCCAGCAAACGCTCGCGCATTTCGGCATGCACTTTAAGCTCGTCCGGGGAGCGTTGGGGTATAACGCACATGCTGAACTCATCGTACAGTTCGCAGCGCTTTTTGAAGGGCCGGACAAAGCGCGATTCCTCGGCCTTCTGGTGCAATCGCCGCAACTCATCCTCGATGGTCAGGACATGGGAAATCGTTGAATTGGCCGGCTTCTTGCACTGGCGCTGACGTGGTGGACAGTTCTCGGCCTTCCATTCGGGCACGGTGTTGTCACCCATGTAGGTTCGCACCTCGTACGGATTGGCCGAAGGACTGGCCTCCGCATTCACCTCAACGAATTTCTTAAGCATTTTGCAAAACACGAAGAATTTTGCAAAATCAGACAACAAAAAGGGAAACAAAAAATTTAGTCGTACAATTCGGTTTTATCGAATTTTTTTTATATAAACCACTAACGAATAATTTCACACGCCCCAACTCGACACGTAATTTAAATGAAATGATTGACTTAATTCACAAAATCAGAACCCACTCTGTTATATTTTTAACGCAATTGACTTCTTTATTAAAAAGATTTGGCTACACATATTTTAACAATTAAAATTTTAAAAAACTTATTAACTTAAGCCATCAGTAGATGAAGTGTCCCTTATGAATTGTGTAAAAGAACAACTCTAACTTTTGAGTTAAGGCAGCATTTTAGATGAGCGAGAAGATTTAGACCACTGTCAGACTAAGAGTAATGCCTCCAAAAAAGTTTTAAAAAAATGAAGCGCATGCCACAAGTTGTCGTAATAAAGGATTTGTATAACTGCCCAATGTACTTTTAGCCCCAAAAAGGAGAAGACAACGACTTCATGTGGCATGTATTTTGCAAATCCAGCATGTCCTCTGTCCTACAGCAAAGAGCACAATGTCCAATCTGCAATAAGTGTGTGAGCTGAACGCTTTTTGCTCTTGAATTGTTGTTGTAAATATATTCAGCTTTTAAATTAAAATATGTTTACTTTTAGGAGCATTAAACATTTAAATACTTACATTGTTCAATGATGAAACATACTTATGAACACTAAAAAGCTTCGAAAAAGTGCTATCAGTCAAAGTGTTTTTATTTACATTGATTTATTGGCGCCTTTTTAAAGTAAAGTCAAGTAAAGTTTTTAGTTTAATTTAAAGCTTTGCAGTTGAAAATGAAAACTTAATCGACTATCGCGCTTAGAGCATGTTGACTACATTGTTCAAAACATTCGAGCTAATAACAAATTTCCTTATTTTCCCAAATGGAAGTCCGTCAGCGACTCTGTAAAGACTGAATTGTATGGTTAACCGAAAATAGTCGCATAGCATTAATGTAATAAGTAGAAGAAAGCTATAAGCATCTTAACGATACTTATTATTTCTTAGTAAATAATTGTACATACATTTTAAAATAACATAGTTGGGCATAAAGCTAGTTGCTCTTATAAGCAATCTTCACATTCTGACGTCAGATAAAATAATTAGCGTTTTAATGGCACGCGTCAACCAAATAATATTTTCGAATTTAATTTATTTAAATTAAAAAGACCATGCTGAAATACGTTATAATAGTCATTCATTCAAACTAGACCAGCCCGGTCACGGTTACATCGATAATGGAGTCGTCAAGGAACATCGATAACATTGTATCGATATGTCATACTAAGAGTTGTATATGTTGATTGTACTCAGCTTGCGCTAAAGTTCTTGCATTAATAATCTGTAATTACCAGAAGCAAACGCTGTTGCACTTATCTGCTCTGTTTTATTCAATCCCTACCCCCTCAACGTGCAATATTAATAGCTCGTAGCTGGATTAATGTGCACCAAAGGCGAAATATGAACGTGTTGCCACCGAACAAAGGAAAAAACTTTTGCTGCAGAGGAATTTGCTTCAATTAGCTTAAAGAAAAGTTGAAAATAAATACACACAGAGCCAAAATGTGGATAGAACCCAAGGAGTTGCTCCTCCTGCTGCCAGGATTATGGTGAGTAAATGTTCAACATCAAAAAACCACATTGCCATGTGGATGATAGGCTGGATGCTGTATTAAGAATAAAAACTATAAGTATGTTAGTTTGTGTGCCACCTACAATGTATACATATGTAAATGCATGTGTGTACATAAATATGTATGTTGTATTTGCTGATAACTTTAATGAACAGAGTTCAAGACAATCTTTTGTGTTCTTTTAAAACGCAAAAAGCTAAGAAACAGCTGTGTGCGCTGGAATAGAAGCAATACTGAGCCTTTACAGTGCAGTTCTAATTGCGACCAACAACTGTTTTTGCTGCGTAAAAGCCGCACACATTCGCCTACACGCACACCCATACATACATGTACATCAATATATATGTACATTTATATGTGTATGTATTTGTATTGCACTCGGCTGCATTTATATAACTCCCTTTTATCTTGTTTTCCTTCGCATTTCAGGACTGGAGAGATGTTCTCCAAGTACTTTGTGTTACAGAAACGTCGAGGACATGGAGAATCTGGTGGCTTTGGATCCATGCTGGTCGGTACCTTTGATAGTGTTATGAGCACAAAACCGGCGCCATATCGAATTCTGCATCAAACACCGTCCTCAGAAATCTCTTACGGTAGGTTTAAGCGCGCTGCTGCTTATCAATTAAATGTTCTACATATGTGTATGTATCTTTGAACACACATATAGAGACTATGTATGAGCATTCAGTTATTTATGGGTGTATAAACCACTGTAATGGCAGCCAGCACGAGATGTGAGTCATTAGCGTTGCAAAAAATTTATATATATACTTGTACATACATACATATACTATTGGTGTATGTACAATTACATGCACGTACAGATGTATAGCTCTCCTATTTTTTTAGTGGGCACTTTTTTGTTTAAGCACTGTGCCACTTCAATGATTGTGAGTTGTATATTTTTTTTCCCACAGAGATTGCCATTGCCACAACTCAAGATGAAATTGTTAAGGACTGGGAGTGGCTGCAAGTGAATCTCTTCAATGTGCTCAACGAAATGGAGAGTGAGGAGGAGGTTACCAACTTTACTTTATGCAAAATAAAGTCGCTTTTTGCGCAAAACAACCAAGACGATCCAGGGGAATCGGCTGATTTTAAAGTGAAGACATCGACTTTTAAATCTATTTTCAAGATGCCAGAAGAGGAGCGTCTGGTCAACACATATGCAGCCACGTAAGTCAAATTATACTATTATATGGAAAACTTTACTCTTATACCTTTTATGACGTACAGCTACGTAAAGAACAAAATTCCCAGAAAGGGTCATTTATATATCTCGCTGAATCACATCTGCTTCCATTCCTATATGCTGGGGCAGGAAATTAAGCGTATTATACGTTTCGCCGAACTGGAGGACATCAGTAGACATGGCAACATTATCTATATAAAGACCACAAACAATATGCAATATAATTTTACGCTGATTTTTGATGCCAGCGAAGCGCATTCCCTGATCGAACAGCTCAATAAAATGGCCATACAACAGTTGATACAGAACCCCGAAAGTCCAGTCGTAGATCACGATACTTCGAGACTAACGCGTCTAGGGGCGGCCAATACCAAGAATTCCAAGAAGCCCGTCCTATTACGCGATTTGACGGCTCGGCAGAAGTCCGAAGAGTTTCGCGTGTACTTCCGACTGCCACAGTCAGAGATCATCGATGGCAAGATCAAAGCAAATATATATACGCCCTATTCGAAACGCTTTAATTCGGGCCATATACTATTATCGCCAAACTTCCTGTGTTTTCGCAGCGATGTCAAGGATTTGGTTAGCGTTGTCATTCCCATGAAGACTATCAAGGTGGGTATTACTTACGTTTCCAACTTTATAAATATTTATTTCTATTGATCTTTGGTGCTTTAATTTGTAGAGCGTGGAGAAAAAAGATGATGGCCAACAACGTTATGACAATCAAATTGTCATAATAACGTCGGAGAATGTGCCTTTTGTGTTTGCCCAGATCATTGATCGTGAGGTGCTGATCTCGAAAATCACTGATTTACTATCACGTATACATATGTAAGTTGAATACCAAATCAGTGAGTAATCCGTAAAACAGCTGTGTGTGTCTTCTATAGACCCGTGAGTCGTGAACGCGCCAAATATGACATATCATGGAGTAAGCAGACCGCACTGATGAACACATTCAAGACAAATTTTAGTGCTGAGATGCAAAAGAAACAGGAGGAGAAGTTGGCACGCTGGGATTCGCATTTTCGTGATTTCGGTCGCGGCATTGGAATGTTCAGAACCACAGATGTGATTAATTTAATTGTCGAAGGCATACCGGACAAGCTGCGGCAAGAGATCTGGTTAATATTTTCAGGCGCCATACACGATAAAGAAATGAATCCGGGACTATACGAGGATCTGGTGGAAAAAGCTGCGTGCATAAAGGATTGCTTTGCGCACGATGAAATCGATCGTGATTTGCCGCGGTCGTTACCTGAGCATCCGGCCTTCCAGAGCCCCGACGGCATCGCAGCATTGCGACGTGTCCTGCAGGCTTATGCCTTGCGAAATCCACAGGTTGGCTATTGCCAGGCCATGAACATTGTGACATCAGTGTTCCTACTGTTTTGCGATGAAGAGAATGCCTTCTGGATGTTGGCCAGTCTCTGCGAAAATCTCCTGCCTGACTATTACAAAGACAAAGTGGTGGGCGCTCAGATAGACCAGGGCGTGCTCAATGAGCTGGTGGAGACACATTTGTCAGATTTGCACGAGCACTTGGACCAACTGGGTGTCATCAAGATGATCTCTATTTCGTGGTTTCTCACAATATTCATGAGCGTCATCTCATATGAAAGTTCGCTGCACATATTGGATTGTTTCTTCTATGAGGGCGCTAAGATCATCTTCATGGTAAGTAATTTAGTATTGAAGTGAGGAATTTACTAATGTACTTATGATGTTTTAAATGGACAATAGATTGCTTTGCAAGTCATCGAGTGGAACCGGGACAAGCTACGTCGGTGTCAGGACGATGGCGAAGCAATGCTGGTACTGCAAAAATTTCTAGAAGGCATCCACAATCCTGATTATCAAGTGCCACCATCAACAGACAAACGCAAAACAGAGCGCACCCAAACCCAGACAGTGCAAACGCTTATCCATGAAGCGTACACCAAATTTGGTGAGGAACTGACACAGCAACGAATCGAAGAGCTACGTAACAAGCATCGACGCCTGACGATGCGCCAATTCGATATTGACAACGAGAAGACTATTGTGAAGGCCTTCGTAGATAATCCATACTTTGAACGCGACGAGCTTCACATGCTTCTCACCATCATACGGGAGGAGAAAATGGCTCTCAAGTCTGTGCAGCAGCAACAGAAGACGCATGCCAACATGAGCGAAGCGCCCTCATTCCCACAATCTCCGGCACGCGCCGCACCTGGTGATTCTTCCGGCGCTCGTCATGAGGCCTACTGCGTTAACTACGAAGTATTCCACACGCTCTTCAACGAACTTACGCCCTGGCGCAAGTGTACAACGGTGGATATTGGCGAAAAATTATTTCGGGTAAATAATATATGTATATTGTATATTAAAATTCTCTCAAATGGATCTCATTTGGGTCTGAAATCCCTTATAATATTAGAAAATGATTTGGATAATAAATATTTATTGAGTACCCGTTAAATTTTAATCCATTAATCCATCAGTTTCTGTAGAAACCGTCAAAATTTTAATTCGATAAACAGAAAGATATATTTATGATTCGGATAACTAATCTATCTATCTAGCCTACTTTTAAAAACAAAACATTTCCTAACTTTTCGGTTTTATAGAAGTAAGATAACTGAACTGATCAAAAATTAATTGAGTTCATTTAACTTTTTAAAGTTATGTGCTTCCAAGTTCAGTTTAGTTTTGAAACTCGATATTAATTTGATTCTTGAAAACACTCGAAAGCTAGTTCTAAAATGCTTGCTTAATCTTTTTACTTCAACTATATTGAATAACATGTGGATAACATAATTTCTATTCAGTTGACGGACAAGAAAAGCACGGGAGTTCTTGATTTTGGTCAGATCATCCATGCCCTGGGCCTGGTCTGTTCCTCCAAGTATACGGAAAAGTTGAAACTCATGTTTATTTTGCATTTGCCACCACTATTGTCCAAGTCGGAGGTAGAACGTGCGCGTCGTCCGCGTCCCCGCAACAAGGACGATGCCGAGGAGGCCATAGAAGCGGAGGACTTTTTCGAGTAAGTTATTAAATTAATGAATTGATAATCGATATGCTAATTATGATTGCATTCCTTAGCGATGATCCGTCGGAGTCAATTGAGGCGCTACCATCCCCATCGGACCATAATTTCGACGCCGATGATTATGCATTGGTCAGCGCTACACAACATATGTACAACTTGGCTGGAATATCGGGCCACACCTTCAGAGATCCTTTGCGCACCCCGAATTTGTCGTTAAACTCGAATGCATCTTCATTGCCCGCCCAACCAACACGTGCCTCAACATTCTATGTGGATCTGCCGAGTGATTTGGCTGCTGGAGGAGCTTCACATGGTACTACTAATACACGCGCAGACGCTGGGCTGGACGAGGATCGGGACATCGGCCTGAGCCAGCAAGGTCGTCATGAATCGATTGACACATTTTCGGATATTTCAGATTTAGGCGCTGCTAAACTGACGCCTCCGCAGCCAACAGCGGCGGAGCAACTGATGCTGAACGTCGAGACTATATCGAATTTTTCACAGATCAGCGACTTGGTGGCAACGACGCGAATGGAACGAGCCGATTCGAATAACACAGATACGCGAAGCTTAGGCAGCTTAGGATATCTGCTCGATCAGCCTGATGATAGCTCATCAAATCGGCGACTTCTTCCGCATATGCGGAAGGAGAATTTTCAGTTGCTCTGGCGCAGTATTATTGAGATTTTGGGTTGTGTCCAGGATGAGGAGATGCGACGTGCTTGTAAGTCATTTTATAACGGATATTACTGTATTACTATATTGTATACCTAATTTATCTGTATTGTTGCGATAGATGAAAACATGATTGAAATGGGAAACAGCAATATCAGAAAGGAGCCGAGCGTTGAGAGCTTTACTCAACTAAATTTGGGAGGCAGTGGAGATGAGGTAAATAATGTCTCTAATAAGGAATTATTTTACTAACCTTTTCCGTTATACTAGCAACCGGACAGGAATGGCAATCCAACGACATCCGCAGCAGAACCAACGAGCACCACTCGACTATTTATAGCGCTTGAGGAGGAGCTGCGACAAGCGGCACTTCTATCTGGCAGTGAGAGTATTAGCAGTGGCAAGCCAACACCCCCCAGCAGCAGCAACGCATCGAGTGATTCTTATGGTTGGAACATTTCCATCAGCCAATTCATAGCCACTGTGCTGAGCGTCCCCACCATTGTCAAGGGTTTCATAACGCGCACTAATATTCTGGAACAAATCGAATTGCTGCAAAAGAAACGTCGAAAGTGTCTGTCCACAAACTATTGAAATTGTGTGCCGAATTAGTGCGTCCGAATGTCGTATATTGTTATAGTTACAAGCATGTCCCCTCCCTCACGGTAGGAATGCCTACACGTGGCCAGCTCTTGGTGTCTAAGCAAATGACTTCACGCTCGTGTCAGCGGACACATAGCATATGGCGAACTGAGCTAGCACAAGCATTTTAGCGGCAGCGCATTGCCTTTGTTCGAGAAGTGCGTTGAAAGAATTATCTTCTGCAAAAATCGTAACACCCTCCTAACCTATTTTGTTGTGACTTTATTCACTCAGTGAATGATTGTACTTTTAATAAAATAATTGTAAATTTGTAATGAGTTGCTTTAAAAAGGGAAAACATACAAAATTTTGAAAAGTCGTACTTTTCTTTAAACCAATGTTACGATTCTTGTTAGATAACATTCTTTCTATCGCCTTATTTAGGACTGTTTTATGTGCTGTCATAACTAAAGCGTTCCACGTCCCAGGTGCAAAATGCAAACTGTATTAGTCCCACAACTCTTTTAAATTACTCCATGTTTTATATAAAATATACGAAACTGTATTTCCAATTTAGTTAAGCCAATTGTGAATATGTGTAACTCTTAATAGAGTTTTATTATATATATATATATATAACGACAAAGTTATAATGTATGCTGAGACTTTTTCAATTATCTACTCTGCCATAGCTTCCTCCTGTCGTTTGCCCATCTTCTGTTGTCGCTCATGCTCGGCTGTACGCACCAGACATTCCTCATATGTCCACTTAGGAAAGACGCGTTTGTATAGGTACATAAAAACCGTGTCGTAGGAGCGCAACTGTCCATCAAAGTAGCACTTCATATGACCATGCGTGCCTAAGGACTCCTTGATGTGGCCTAGACGCCCGCATTTGGTGCGTAGTTTGACAGGCTTAAAGTATTCCACATCGTCCTTGTAAAAGAACATGTAGCGTATGGTGGCCGACCTGCGATTTATACGCATTGGGTGTCCACTGAGGACTACTCGTTTCAAAACAATGCGGTCCGGATTGCATGAGAGCAAACGTCCGCGCGCCACAAGCGCCAATGTCGAATCCGGATTCACCTTAAAAGCGAGCACTGCAGCAGGAGGGAATTGTATGGGCGCATAAAATGTGGCGCAGACAGTCTCATAAGGCCGGAAATAACGTTCGAACTATCATAAATTAAAGTAAGATTATCCAAAGGAATGGAAACCAGATACAGATACACCTACCTTATGTTTATCACCATTGGTGTGCTGACTGTAGATGGGATTGACGACAAAACGACGATAGCCGCACTGAACAATGAGCTGCTCCTTGGACTTTAGCGGCACTTCCGAATCGGGTGTGCGTTGCAGTATCACGTTCATAACGCACATTTTATGCTCGTGCGGCAGCATTCCATACACAATAACATTATCGGCCAGATGTGCGGACTTAAATGCAGTCCAACTGGACTTGGGCACGTTTATCACATATAATGAGATATAAGAGCCAGGCTGAAAAGGAAGAAAGCCGGATGGATATGGAGTTAGGTTTTCTTTTTCAGTTACTTACCACCACACCGTCAAATTCCTTGGCCTCAGCCAGTATGCGTCGCTTGGTGCGATCGAAATTCGGAAACTGATAGATGCGCGCATAGTCGCTGGGCAAATTCTCTTTGGCATCCCAAGGTGAAGTGCGAAACGACTCTAGGCCGCGATATTTCTGGAAACGTTCATGTGCGGGCACATCCAGTGGTGTGTCTATCTCATCAGGCCAGAGCTGATCCGTGCGTGCCTCTTTAAGTTTCTGCAGAGTCTCACGTTCCTCCTGGAAGTCCATCTGCTGATCATACTTGTCATCATTAATAGCCGCGTCCGATGCAACAGAAACACTGTCCAGATATTCCTCAGTATCTGAATCGCGTTTTTCACATTCATCTTCGAAGGACTTATTGTCACACGACATGAAGTCATCATCATCATTATTAGCTGGATCATCACCCATGTCATCGTCATCGTCGTCATCATCCTCGTCTTCTTCCACTTCCTCAACTTCAGGTATCCAAGCGGCCTGATATTCACTATAGCCTTTGGGCACACGTTTTATCAGTTTCATTTTCTTTGTCTCATTTTGTGAAGCCTCGATTTCTTCCTCAGTTGGCCATGTTTGCTCCGCATCCATGGGATCTGGTATGTGCTCGCTCTGCAATGAAGTTTGTTTCTCAGGATCACTGCGATTCATGACGCGTACTTCCCCACAATTTCTCTTGTCCAACATGTAGGGATCGGGCACCGCGTCTATCTGTCCTAATTGAAAATCTCCAAGACCCGGTATGTGAACTAGACCGTTGATATCAAGCGGCTGTCCACGGACGAACCCGGTCACTTTCAGTGTTCCCAGTTCGTTGTTGGGATCGGCATTTGGAACATAATCCACAATATCGCTTAAGAGATGCGGACGATTATCCTTATTGTGGATAATTCGTTTCTTTTGACCACCAATGCGACGCAAGACATTTAAGCCCTCGCTTGCTGTGTCCAACTGCATGACTTTCTCCTCAGGCAACACCTTGGAAAGAATCTTTTGGGCTGCCTGCTTGGCTGCTGCTCGTTTCTTTGGATTTATGGATTCCAGATCCATCAGTGCGACAAGTGGTGTTGGTATGCCTTGTGCAGATATCATATTAAAAATTCGCTGACCCCATCGATCAAATATCTCATCTTCTCCAAAGGCTGCAGAAGTTAAGAGCATAGTCGTATCACACACTTTGAGGTAGTCCAACACAACCAGTTCATTGCCGCGACCCACAGGTGGTATGACAAAGGCAAAACGTTGCTTAAACCGTGGCAGGTTTATATACACAGTGCCATTGGGAGAGTTTTCCACCAGCAGTTCGCTGTCACAACTCTCTAGAATGGCCAAGGCGGATCTTGGATCAATTTGCTCATGCAGGGGCAGCAAGCAAACTAGAAATGGCGCCGTATTTTGTCCACCAAGTTTTCGTTTTTCTAGCCAAACCTCTTCACGCTTATTCTTGCGCAGCTGTAGAAGGCACATGTGCAATGTTTAAGGCAAGCAGGTGGAAGTTTCAAGCCACAAACGCACTCACCTGATTCATTTGATTGCGTCGTTGATCCTTGCGCTGCTGCTGCTTGTGCTTGCGCGAGACGACTTTAAGGCTAACCTTGCCTGTGGCATAGCAACATGAAATTCGATATGAATATGAAATCAATTTAGTTTACATTTTCTCATAACTTGTTACAACCTCACCTTTAAGCGCATTTTCAATGGCCCCTTTTGAGCGATGTTTTCCCGTTTTGTGCGCCTTGTTTGTTTGCTTAAGCGGCCCAGGACGATGAAACGTATGATCCGCCATACTTCCTTCTCGTTTTCAGCAATTAATGCACGACAATTCTGTATTTAACTAAGTTTTTAAGAAATTGTTTTGTTTTTCGAGCGCTGCGAGCACATGTTCCCAAACAGTGTGGTCATAAAAGAAAAGTAAAATATTCATGGGCCAAGTGTGTACACACTACATGATTTCAGTGTTGTACAATGTACAATAACAATGAGTCACATATGCGCTAAATATTCAAAGTTGAAGTAAAGGCCCTCGACTAGAGTTGGGCACGGGCCGTGTTTTTTGTCGTGGCACTTCGTGCCACGCGTGGGCCCGCGTGTTCGTGTTGTAAATTCCGATTTCGTGCGTGGCCGTGCGTGTTCGTGTTGAGCCAAAAAGGCACGACAAAACACGCACGAGGAAACACGAAAGAACACGAACATAGCACGAAATAAAATGAACAACTAAAGTAATAAAAAAAACGAATGTTGGGTAAATAATCAAAATATATCGATAATTCGATTACTTTTAGCGTTTGCCCATATTTAGAACACAAGCTATACACATTTTTAGACAATTCATGTTACGATGTCCCAAAAACACAAAGTAAAATTGCAAGATGCAATCCGTAATAATGATCCGCGTTGCAAGTTAATTACGCCCGAAAACGCAAAAAGCGTGGTGTGGAAAACGTTTGCACAAATTGAGTACAACAATAATCATGAGGAATTTGTTTGCTGCAGCAAATGTTAAGCTATTTTTGCTTACACGTCAAAAACTGGAACAGGCACACTTCTGCGACACAAATGCGCAAAGCCCCTTTCACCTACACAATCAACACTCAACGCATTTTCTAAAAAGTTTGTTTTAAATTTTTATATTTAATATATAAAAAGTTCGTGTTGGGCCGTGTTGGGCCGTGTTAAAAAAAATTTTCGTCGTGCGTGCGCGTGCGTGTTTCTAAAAGTTAATTTCGTGGCCGTGTCGTGTCGGGCCGAAAATAGCCGGCCCGTGCCCATCTCTACCCTCGACCCATTAATAAAACACATCTTGATTTTTTTTAAACCACATTCAATGTAAATATGTATTTGTTTTTATGGTATATTTGTAGTATATTGCATATGCATGGTCTACACAACCAAACATGCTGCTTGCTTTAATATAACGCTGTTTATATAATACTCGTAGTTTATTTTATATGATATATATTTTTTTCTTCTGGTAGTAGTCGAATGTATGTTTATAACTGCGTTTGGCTATGCTGCTTTAACATTGTTACTTTGACCGCCACAAAATGGTGTTCCAATATGCTAAATACATAGCATGTATAGTATTATGCCGGAGCTTATGTGGAGTGTCAACTAACTTAGTATAACTTTAGAGTAGTTTTTATGTTGTTTTGTGTAAATAATTGTAAATTGTGTGCATAGTATTAAACATTTGCATGTTGTGTGTGGGATTAAAACTTAACGGTAGGTATCCATAACACTTAGCAATACGTAATAAAAACATAAATTATTAAATAAATATAATATAAGAAAGAGTTTTAGGTAAATTGATTGATTGTTTTCATTTAATTGTTTGGATTTTGGTTCAATATATGTATGTGTGTTTCATGTTGCTTTCTTTACTACATGCTGCAATCAATTTATTTAACACACATAGGAGAGGTCGCCTATGTTTTAGTACAGTTTTTACATTCCAATATTTTCATAATACTTGCATTTCTTTTAAACTACTTGCATAAATTCTATGGGCGACGCCACGACATTATTACAAAATGGCGGCGATCGCTTGAGCCCGCAATTGGCGTGCTGGACAAATCTCAATAATGCATGATTTTGCCACGCGTTTTATTATAATTGGTTTTATTGTTATCATTATTATTACCTTTAATTTATGTATATCTGTAACCAATATGGGTGCACGCCCTCAACATTTAAAGGAGTCTCCCTACCAAAAATAAAGTATGTATGCAGTTGTATATTTACTTGTTTGTATATATGTGTATGTATACATTTATATATGCACTCTATTTTTTATGCAGTTGCTATCAAAATCGCCCACAGTCGCCCCCCATACAATATAAAAAATTACCTAACCAATTCCAGCAAACACTCCTCCACTTCCTCATCCACACTATTTTTTAACGCACTGCAAATTTACATACATACATGTACATACATACAAAAATGTGCTTGCCATGTGATGAAATGTTTCACTAAAAACTTCATTCATTAAAAATTGGTGCCAACGTTTTTAAATGCAGTTAACATGCTCGCCACTAACTCTCTTGCTTCGCCACTTTCATTACCCCCTGCCCCAGCCATCGCTTTAGTTGCATTTATTTTATGTTTCATCTACTATATTTGTGTTTGCTTTGTTTTACAATTTGCTCTTTATTTTGTGCGACTCGCATTGTGTGCGCACGCAGAATTTTACATATTTTTGCACTGAGCGCACACGGAACGCGCCTTTGTATTGTCACGCACAAAATCATGCACATTGAATTTTCCATCATCGCCGTGATCGTAGCCGCGACTCTTCAGTTGTCTGGAAAGTGAGAAACAAAACGTTAATTCATTATAACAAATTGCAGTTTACTCAAATGAGATAATTAATTGCCCGGTAGACGTGCTGGTACGACTTCGTTGTACCCTACACCCACAATAAATAATTAAGGGTTCAAACAGGGTATAGGAACAAGAGGATGTTATCAATCAAATCTGTCACCTCTCAATCGGGTGAAGTTTTTAAAGTTGTAAAGGCTCTAGTTCTTATTTATTTATATTAGCTATTTATTTATTTATATTAACTTATATTTAATTTATATGTGTAAAAGACTTTCATAACGATCAAGAAGCGTTCTATGGACAGATGAAGGTTTTTTGAAGCATTGGGATTCGAATTATAATTACATAACAGAAATAAATACACCCAAAAATAATAAAAAATTTTAATACTGCACTCAATATTAGAGCTCCATTTAACTTTGTTTAGAAGCAGCTTACAGCTTACTTGCGATAGATTAACTCAAATTTCCTCAACAAATTATATTATAGTGTGCAATGGAATAGACGGATTTGCGACACTGCGCTCCACTGGGATGCAGGGCTAATGGTTAATTATGGTTATAGTTATATCTTTAATAAAATAACCAAATACAGATCCCAAAAAATAATTTTAATTAAATTTTATCGAAAGTCTTTCATTAAACAGACATGCCTCCTTCTTATAGGGACTACCACCCATTATCCAGGTTTGAGGAACAAAAACTCACTTTACTTAATAAATAAAATTATAATAAAATATTTATTTGTTTTGAGTATAGGTCGAATAGAGTAATCTTTACACAGAGAAGCGAAACTAATTGCCTTGCCGTCTAGTTCTTATTTGTACAATTACACTTCTTTTTTTGCTCACCTGGCAACAGCTGTAAAAGCCAGCTCCACGTTGAGTCCGGTCTTGGCCGACGTCTCCATGAATGGCACATTATGCTCACGCCCCAAGCGCTCTCCGTCCTCGCGTTTCACCTGCCGCTCACTGCTGCCACAATCGGCCTTGTTGCCTGTAAAATGCAAGACAAGTTTCTAAAGTTCGACAGGGCTTGTATATATATTATATATTTTTTGTTTTTCTTTTCTCTGTAGCTGCACTAATTTAATTTGCTGGTGGTGCTAGTACTACTGGCTTTAATCAAATGTTATTTAGTTTGGAAAACTTTTGCATTAACTGAATACTCACCAATTAAAACGATAACCACGTCCTCCTGTGCATATTCCCGTATTTCGCCCAGCCAGGCGCGAATGTTGTCGTATGTCGTCTTGTTGGTCACATCGTAGAGTAGCAGCAGGGCTAAGGCACATATGTGTGCCAAATGTAATTAAACGAAACCAAATTCAATTACCGTAGCCATTGCTTGAGACAATTTATGGGGCATTATCTTACGAATATGTTAGGATTAATATGAAAACTTAAAATAATTACATTTCATGTTTATAAGTCATGTATATGTACAGTGAAAACTTTCTTGGCCAATTTTTGTCCGCCCAAGGGGAGTGTCCGCTTAAGGGGATACTTAAATACTTTAAACACCGATGGCATGTTTTTAAAAAAAGTGTCCGCCGAAGAGAGTGTCTGGATAAAAGAGTTAAGGGAGTTTTCACTGTATATGTAGATTTTGTTGATTATTTTTCATCAACATTTTGTAAAGGAAAATATTTTACAAAAGTGTTTTTTTTTTTCAAAAATGTACAAAATCAAGAACTACTCGTATGTAAAAGTAGGCGCTTTCAGCAGTTTCATAAAGATAGGACACTTTTTTTAAAAATGTTGTCGAATTATAATTTTAATATTAAGTTGGCTACGAAAATATTTGCGTAAGATTACGAAGGCTGTTCAGTTTAAGTTTTTTCTCATTAGAAAATATAACCTAAAATATTTAAAAAGCCTCATATAATGTCTCTCAAGATATGGCTATATTATCCAATTTCCAGATAGGGTTGAAAATATATCGAAAGCGCAGTGTGATTTTAGATAAGTACTTTATTATCCACTGAAGCTCCTGTATTTTTGCATGCGGTTATTGAATTTAAGGTAAATCTAATATATTTTGAATGCTTAATTCAAAAAAATAAATATGATTAAGTTTTGAGCCATCTGTGTTAATTCTAAGTCGCTATCCGTTGTTTATTTTCTATAATTATCTGAGCATCTCAACAACTTCAATCATAAATGTAATACTCGATTTTTAGCCATATTCCATATACATAAAACCACTTAAAAATCTCCACCAGTTCGATGTTAATCATTAGCTACTATTGCAACCGTAAAATGTTTTTAACATAAACGTTTACATAGTAAGTGTACAGAATATACCCGTATATGTACTTACCGTGCGCATCCCGGTAATAGGCATGCGTTACGCTGCGAAAACGCTCCTGCCCAGCCGTATCCCAAATTTGCAGCTTTACACGTGTCCCGTCGACAACGACAACTTTATTCTGCATGATTATTGGATTAAAAGTGCAGAAAAAGTTGTAAATAAAAATGTTATTGTTAAATAAAATGAAATTAATTTGTTGAAATGTGCATGCATAAAGGAATTTTGGTTAAACGGAATGCGGGCGCGGTGCCGTTGCGGCTGCTGCTGCTGCTAATCCAATTACTCGAGGTAATGGGGCGTATGAGCAACATGCATGTGCATCAAGTATACGCCACGTGGGCCATGCAAAAGTTAACATATACAATTTCACACGGACAACCAATTTAAATGATGCAAATCAAGCGGAGCCTTGAGGTAAACAGCATCTCTGGTTACAAACTAGAAGCCCAATAAGGAAAGACATGCCTCGTTATCCTTCATGCTTATCATTAGGTTCGTCTGACCCGCTTTGTAATGAGAGTAAGCAAGTGCGTAGGTATGTGTATGCATGCGCCACTCAGACAGTCAGTCAATATATACTTACAATATAACAAAAATTACATCAAATAACATAGAAAAATAAGTAACAGCCGTCAGCGATGGCAATGAGAAAGGCGAGGTTAGGGTATTTGAAGAGTCTACTCATGCATGCGTTCGTCCGTGTAGACTACCCAGCCATATTGACTTTGTTTTATTTGATTTCATAAGGCTGGCAAACTTCAGGCAACACAAACACAACAAATAAACAAAGTCAAGTCAATGCACGAATGATTTCTTTATATATTACACGGCATGTTGAGTTCTTGAGTAAGTAATCGTGTTGTATACGTAAAATATGAATTAATGTTGAATCGAGTGTAAAAATGTTTATAGTGTACCACTTAATAAATGCCAGGGGGCATTACTGCACTTAAATCTGTTGAGCATTACAACGCAATAAAGAGTATACCTGTTGTATTTAAAGCAAACGGTAGAATATCACTGCTATGAAAAAGATAAGTTAGCAAATACTATAATGATGAATAGATGCCAAAGTTTTATAATACATATATGAATGTTTTGGAAGTTTTTCAAATGTCTGTATTAACAACTGCCTCCCAAACATAAACAACTATGTTGGCTTTTACTGTATCTTGCAACAATACTTTTTATTATCGATTGCTTTTTCACCACGTATATCTTTATATTCATGACTATTGAAATAATTTTAAAGCAAATATTTCAAAAGGCATATTTCCTTTATTTCAAAATATTCTTTAATTGGAGAAGACTAAATTACTGACATTTATTCATATTTCAGCGGATATAATTAGAGATCATCCAAAGAACAGTAAAGACAACTGTTCCTTTTTATTCGTATTTAAGTCGACAAATACACAAGTAGCAGATAATAAGTATAACGATGTTTGTCAAAAAATGCTAATTCTTGTTGTTTTATGTGCCTGCTTTTAAATCAAAAATCATGCTACCCAAAAAAAAAGACCGAAATGCTATCAACTTTCTAAAACTTATGCATACTAATAATGTCATGTTTTGGCCGGAGGCGAAAAGATGGCTACACATTTTGTCGGCGTTAACAAAACTGCGTCGGAGGGAGAGAATCAATAACGGACAGTGTGGGCGGGCGAGTGGTGGTAGCTCCAAGCTTGTTTAAAATGGTATTTGGCTCCTAATAGCAACAATCTCTTGCCACATTTGCTTTTGAATAGACAACAAATTTGACTTGCCTTGCGTTAAGGCAAAGCAAGAATTGAAGCTTTAAACTTTGCTTTAAAATACTTCGTTCAGCATAGTTTTTAATAAAAAAACTTTTGGGCCATCGCAATTTTACGCTATTTTATTTCATAGCTACGAGTCGGTTTTTATTTGAAAAGTTATATGTAATACTTGTGTCACAAACGAAATGAATAAATGAAAAGATACAGAGTGGTGTTTCAAAAAATCAAAAAAAAATGCATTACATTTTGCTAGGTATTATGAATCACCTGAAAAATTATATATAAAAAAATGTAAATTAGATTTTATATAAATTGTTGTTATGTACTATTTTATGCAAAAAACTTGATAAATTTATGATTTTATGATATTTTGAAATTTTGTTGGAAATTAATTTTTGATAAGGATTATCGTTTTATAATATTAGTTTCCACTATGGAGTGGTAGAAATATTAATAAGTAAGTAATAGCAAGAGCGCCACATCGATCCTTAAGAGAGAAAAGATACTTTTACATTTACTTAATGGTTATGCTGCGAAAAGTTTACGGAATCCTACTAAAAAATAAGTATATTGCTTAAGTCAACCATTCATACAAAATTAATACGATTTAGCTGTAGGTATATAGTATGTATACGTATGTAGGTATATTGCTGGTAAACATTTATCTGATCGAAACGTGCCTGAAATAGGGAACATGCTTTAAGAAGTTGCTTCATTTTTGTACAGATATGTATGCATGTTTATGTAATTACACGTAACTACACAAGAATAAAGGTATACATATATATATATGTATTTAGCTTTACAAATATCATCAAACTTTTTAACAAATATTCAGTGTAGCTTTTCAAATGTCTGCACTGCTAATTCAATATTTACTTTATTGATTTAGCTACAAGCCATCTTAAACTTTTGTTTTCATTATTTTCATCATAATTGCTTACCATAGAAACACTTAATTGACAAAAAAAAAGCAAATAAATAAATGCTGCGACAGCTACTTGAAGCAGCGAAAACTCGAGGGAAATAATTGGTGCGAGTTTCAAAATAAGAGAAAACATGTTTAAAATGAAATAATGTTTTTCCACAAAAAATGTATGAATAATGAAAAGAAGTATATAATATACTAAGATCAGCGGAGCAAACAGAAATGAAAAGCAAGAGGGAACGCTACAGTCGAGCAAACCCGACAGTGAAATACCCTGTACCCGGCACTGAGGTATATGCGCCTCTAGCAGAAGCAAAAGGAAGAAGAAGGGCCAACTTGATGCTGCAGCTTGTGGGCGTAGAAACGAAGTAAAATTGTTTCGCTAATAACTTTTCTTAGAACCGATTTAGATTTAATTTGAAACAAAATTAGATAATTATATAGAACTTATGTGTGCAAAGTTTGGTTAGGGTAGCTTTTTAAATGTGGACGGTATTGACGAAATTCTGTAGAAGGGGAAAAATAAAATAAACTCGTCCTTTCTCGGACCTAGGAGCATCTGGATACCAACATTGGTTATTCTAGCTTTTATAGTTTCTGAGATCCTTGCGTTCATCCAGATGGACAGACAGACGGACAGATGGACGGACGGACATGTCTAGATCGATTTCTCTCGTCATGCTGATCAAGAATATATATACTTTATGGGGTCGGAGATCCTTCCTTCTGTATGTTACATACTTTGCACAAACCTTTACCCCCTTTTTCCCCTACGCGTACAGGGTATAAAAATGAGGATGCAAACGCAAATATTGAAAGGCACGTAAAATATGGTTTTGTATTTTGTTAAATGTTTGCTGTTAATAGACAATTTAGCAGCATCACCACCCACTTCATTATGATTGTGGCCTCTTCATTCATAGTGGTTTTAGTTGCTGTTTTATAAAATTACAAAGGAGCAAAGTTTCCAAAAAAAAAAAAAACAACTAAAATGTAAAAATTTTATCAAAAACCCACAACGATATCCTTAATAAATTAGCAACAACAACTACTACAACAATTACTTGTACAAAGAACACGCGCACACAACATCAACAAGTCCTTTTCAAGTTCACATGCTTTTTAATAAATAGCCCCCAAGGAGCTTCTCAGTTTCTGCTTTTTGTTTTTATTCTTCCTTTATTAGTGAGAGATGTCCGGGAAGAGTGTGGTCCCGTGTTAGAGGTGGAAGTCGATGCAAAGTGTAGTGTGGTGTTGTGTGGTGTGGTGTGGTTGTGTGGTCAGATGAGCACGTGAAAAGGGCAGCTACACATTTCATTTCAATAAAGAGCATAGCCGCACCTCGTGGTATGGATGGGGAAATCATGAAACCGCAAAACAGGCACAACCACAACATACGCTCTCTAGCACAGACACAAACAACTATATGTACATACAGAGTGGGAGAGGGGCTGTACACACAGAGCAACTAGAGCCTTAGAGTGGCCCGGGAAGGTGGAAGAGAGAAAGTTGAAGAACATAAACATAAGTAGGTAGAAAATCGCATTCATAACCTTGACAACTGTTGACGTACGCAGACACACAAACAAACAAATGTACATACATACATACAGAGACAGAAATGCAGATTGACAGATTGACAGTAGATAGAAAAGAAGAGCAACAGTTAGGCACAACAACAACATCAACAACATTGAAATTATAGCAACTATGTATGTATGTACTTATGTTGAATTGAATACACAACAACGAGTAGTTAATAAGCTTACCCTAAAATCAATGCCGACAGTGCTCAAAAAATAGCTCGGCACATACCGTCCATCACGAAATCGAATCAAAAGCGATGTCTTGCCCACTCCCGAATCGCCAAGCATTATAACCTGAGCATCGTTATCATCATCGTCATTATCGATAAACAAATTGTCACCCACACCCACGCACCAAACGCAAACGCACACCCAACCAAGTTGTTGAGAGGCGAGCGAACGAATCATTTGGCAACAAATTGTGCGGCATTTGTGTGTAATGAAGAAAAATCGTTGAATGTTATACGAAAGCGACCACAGAGACCACAGAATAAAAGAAACAACAACAACGACACACAGTGCGACAAGCGCATGTGAAAGAGAGTGTAAGAGCAGGTAACAAGAGAGCGAGACAGGATGACAGGAACAGCAGAGGAACGCAAGCGAGCGGAATAATTTATGCGTGTATTGTAAAACGAAATATTAAATATTTAATGAAAAGCTTATGAATTTTACATTTGCTTACATTTGTAAAGTGGTTGGCTTTTAAGAGAGCAGTGTGAGGAAAAATGCGAGAGGGGCTAGGGAATGTAAGGGGAAAATAAAGTGCTTCTATAAAATGTTTACGCATGTATGGGGGCTAATTATGGTAAACATAAACTAAACTTAAACACACACACACACACAC